CCTGAATTTCTACTACATTCTACTCTACCAGAATGTGTAAGTACAGTTAATTTTAAACAGTAGAAAGAGGAGATAGGAGTGGCAACACAGCCTGCCTCAGTTAAACTTCTCTAATAATGTCTGCCTCGAACGTTGTTGCCATCATATATTGAGTTTGTCTTTCATTGAGAATAAAGTTAATAGTTACGGAATAAAGAATCTAGGCTGTTAAACTTTTAACTTTTGATTCGTATATAATTTGAATCACTGTTTTGCCTATCCTGTAAGTTATTAATTATTTATTTCTGTACCCTTATTTGAAGTTTAAATAAATTCTTCAGTTGATTAGATGTATTTTATTTATTCAGTGTTGGCAATGAAATAAAAATGGGGTGAAAATTCGTCCAGCAGGCTAGAAGGTTTGTCTAAACCAGAGTTTAGGCAAGATGTTTAGCTCTAAACACTATGATTCATTATAACGAATAACTTATTAAATGAACTAAATTTATGTCGATGTATTAGTATCAGTATTATTGAAGGAATTCCGTAACTGATGGTATAGTAACAGAGTTATTTAAACTAATTTAAACTACTGAATCATTTCCTTTGAGTGAACGATGGAACATTTTCCAGCTATCTAACGGTGTGATAACCCTTTTTTTTTCCCGATAGTTTTTATTCGCCATTACGCTTGAAGATGGATGGTATAGCAACATAGTTATTTGAACTATCGAATAATTTCATTTGATTGAAATATGGAATATTTTCCGAGTATGAAACAGTGTGATAACACTTTTTTTCGATAGTTTTTATTTAATAACACGCTCGAAGCTGAATGGCATAGTAACAGAGTAGTTTGAACTACCGAATAATTTCATTTGTTTGAACGATGGAATAGTTTCCAACTGTCAAACAGTGAGATAATTTTTTTGATAGTTTTATTCGATGTTACGCTTGAAACCGAATAGTATAGCAATACAATTGTTTGAACTATTCAATAAGTTCATTTGATTAAACGATGGAATATTTTCCAACTATCAACCAGTATGAAAAAAAATGAATAATTTATATTCGATATTACGTTTGAAGCTGAACTAAATACACAAAGAAAGTATAAATACAGCGAGCTATTGTATTCTGCGAAGATATTTTAGGAGAAATGCTTTAATTGCTATAGAAATCACTTAATTATTAAGAGATAAAAGCAGTAAAGAAACTGTTAATTTAACTGTAGCATATTAATTGATTTTTATAAATTTCGTTACTCTTAAATAGTTAGGTAACAGATCAGCGCTTATTAATGAAATAACTTAAATTGTCGGGTAGAGTATTTATTTATTTTTATTAACCAGTTACTTTATCTTAGTGATATTTACTGTCTTTCTCGCTTTCCGTTTCCCTAATGCTAATTTCTGGTTCACATGTATTCAAATGAGATAGAAAAGGGGCAGTAATTAAATGAAGGTTTTAGACGGTAGAATCAGAGCATGCTCAGCCTGCTGAAGGCCACGTTGCTAGTGAAATCTCTTGACAGCAGTTTGCCTGCGGCGTGCGTTATTCTCTCCATTGGTCTGTTACGCCTATTTTAGGTCTAAGCCAACTTGCGCGTTTTCTGTCTGTGTAACCTTTGGGCTAACTACAAACTTACCATTTCGATATGTTGGACACGCACCATTAATACTGGCTGGTTCTGTAAGCACAATCTAGGCCTTCTTTTAAATTATCTGAGTTAATAAAAGGATCTTTTACACCCTTTTCAAGTTTCTGTAGTAATTTCCAAGACATAGCAAGAAATGGCTGAAGTCTTCAGAGTTTTCACTCAGTTTATGTTACCAAAGAGGGTGAGACTCTATAAACGAATCAAGCACCTGATTCTCCATAGCAATATATCCCACCCCAAAATCGATGTGAATTTGGATCCTAATTTCTGGAAATTTTTTGATAAGAAAGCCTGTCTAATTCTGTTTGTGTATTCCTTTATAGTAGGGGTAGGTTACTTATTCACCTTCCTTTAAAAGAAACTGAAACCAGTTCTGTTTACCCAGTGCTCCCTTTAACGCTTTGTTTTCCCAGAAATATGTTATTAGTGTTAACAGCTGTTACTGCATTCATTAAAACATTACAATATATGGTTTGTTATCCTGTTTTTCTTCAGTAGGTTTCAGCTATTTGTCAGCATTTCTGCTGAAATTTTTGCTAAATATTATTATTACTGTTCTTTACGTTCCGATAAGATAAATATCTAGTTGAACAAAATTCTATCTTAAGTTCGTGTGTAGTTAAACAACAGTTCTCTCTTTCAAATTAATGTGCAGTTAAGGAACAGTTCTTAGTTTAATGTGCAGTTGAAAAACAGCTCGGTCTCGAGATAAACAACTGTTATAATGGAACCGAAAAGAATTTAAAAAGAGGATATTTCGTCCGTTTAATATCCTTATGCTGAAATGAAATATTTTATATTAAGTCGTTAGTTTGAAAGTTAGAGAAGTACTCGCACATCTTTTATTTTTACTTTTTTGCCATAAAGTAATCGCTTTGTTGTTCCTTTATGATCAATGCAATAAATCATTTATTTTTGCTTAAAAATTAATTTTTCTGTTGCTTTGTCTTTTTGATGTCTCGTGCTAATAATACGCGCAACGTCTTCAATGTTTTGTTCTATCAGTCAATACTGATTTCAATATTCATAGAGAGATAATTTACTTTGAAAAAAATATTATCTTATTAATAAGCTTATAATAGTGGTAAATACAGTAGATATATTACTGTATTTCCTAATGATTTTCTTTAGCTTATACTTTGTTATAAGGTCATTTCTTATAATCTATTGTTTTTGTCTTCTGTATTTGTTCTGCTATTTACAGTTATTATTTGGAGAGGCAAAAATTAAACGGTTTGTATCAGTATTCCCCCAATAACACATAGGTTAACGATATATTGCCCTAAGTATTATCACTGAAAAACTTTTTATACATATTCCTTTCTAATTGTTAATTATTATTATGTCGGTTAATTTATAATGATGTATCAAATAAATCATAGCAAATATATACCCTGCAGCCATTGGTAGAAATTAAAATTACAGTCATTTCATTTAATCATATGTATCCAAAGATATTCATAAATTTATGCCAAACAAACAACTCAAACTATTTACGCTGATAAAAGATATACTGCTTAGTCTTTCTTATAAATGCCGATAAAAAATATACCGCTTAGGCTTTCTTACGAGTATAATGCCAGTAAAAGATATACTATTACTTAGGCTTTCTTATACCGGTAAAGATAGCTGTTCTCCGAGTTTTTTAAGGGAAATCTGTCACGTATACCTGTACTGGTTTGTCAGTAAAAGACAACAATATGGCGTTCGGTAGACGAGAATCATCATTTTACGTTTGGGAATAAGCGATATCTCTTCCCATTTTGATTATGCAGTTAAGATTCGGAGCAGAATTCGGGACTTTGCTGTTGTTTTCAACAATATCAAAAATAATCTACATAAAATTCTTGTCTGAAGGCAATCTGCGCTCATATCATAGTCTTAGATGTGACTTTTTAGAATGCAGATTTGTTAATAATACTGACTTTAATAAATTACAAAAAAGTTAGTTCAGTTAATGCCAAAACTTATACTCTGTGTAATGAAATCTAAAATATGTCGTATAAAAGTTTAGAACATTTGATATGATTAAGCACTTTTTGGTGTTTCTTATAATTTTATTTAAGTGTTCTAAGACATTCCTAGACCTCATTTTGCATTGGCTGATTAACTATTCTTTTTTATATTTTAACATATTATCTAAGTGAATTTCATACTTAAATTTACAAGGAAATAGATATTATTTAGAAAATACTATTAAAGAAATCTAACTTAACCTGTGTACACTTTCTTTTTGACCCAATGTAGATGTTTGCCTTACCAGCACAGGAAGACACCTTCAAGATTTTGTGTAGCCTGTACTTTTAATTTAAGAAATCAAAAAATTCCTTAATCCTTTCCGGCACGCTACCTTTTAAAGTTAGCGTTTTGATTTAAAAAAAAAAAAAAAAAGGTAGGCAGTTTAATTAGGCCTAGAGGAGTACACAAGTACAATTTTGTGAAGATAGCACTTATCGTTTAATTCTGTGGGTGTGTCCAAAGTGGGCACACTGATTGAATATAGCTTCGAAAAGAGTGCTGAAATGAACATTGTCAATCAACGAACTGACCGAATGGATGCGGAGAAACAAATAATACAGACTCTCAGTTGCCCTAGATTATCGGTGAGCCCCGTCTGGGCATACCTAGGGTTCGTCGTTTGATTTTAGGCAAGATTTCAAGGTAGAATAAGGAGATCAGCATACAACCAAAGTATTAACACAGAATTTTTTTCAAACAATTCCTTTTTATACCCTAAAAAAATCTGGAAGATTTCTTTGAAAAATGAGGGTCTTAAAAAACTAAACATGGCTAAAATATATGGACTGGTTTGTGTTGAGCTGCCATCTACTATAAATAAAGAAGGTTCAGAGTAACCTATGGTAACCTATAAATCTTTTTCATTCAATTTTTCTGTGCATACAGAAGGAAATTTTTAGGTGTGTCCAGACCGGACACGCTGTGTCGCAAAGAGTTAACTAAGAAGATAAATAAGATAGGTAAAAAAGAACTTAAGTTTTCAGTAAGAAACAGACTTAATGTTTTCAGTTGTCGATAGATAAAATTATAATACCTGATATTGAACATCGTGTTATACATTTTCAGAAATGTAACTTCCAATATTTAATACGCAAGCTTTCTCATCAACTGAGAAGAAAATGGCAAATTCTTCTTTACGTGTTCATGTGAAATACAAAAGGTTCTCATTTCGAGAAATAAATGCTACAGATATCCTTGACAAATGCAAATTACTCTGCATATGCACCTTTTCCCAATAACCTTTACTCAAGTTATTCCAGAATAGATTTAATAACAAAAACAAAAAATTAAAAATAATCTTTATTCATCATTTGTATATAAATATATTCATGTGAATAAATTCATTCATCAGATAACAAAATAAAACTGCAACGAAAATAAAAATACAGATGTTAAGTAATTTTAATATACAAGCTAATAAAATCTGGATGTATTTATTAGTTCAGATTTATAACCTTGGGGACTTGAAAACGTCAGTAACTTTCAGAATTAATTCCTCCTTTTGGTGTTGCTTTTATTTCAAATAATACGTCCACATAATGTAGAAAAATTTTTTTTTCCTAGTATAATAATTTTATTTATTCGAAAAATTTATTTATTATATTTTTTAAAGTCATTTTAAAAGACTTTATTAATCTAATGGATTTGATTTGACTTTATTAATCTAAAGGTATTATATTTTTATGATGATTTACATTTTCTGATTTTAAAGCTGAGTACAGAAATTAATATACGACAAGAAATATATACATTTAAAGGAACTATTGCAGTCACAATTAAATTAAATTAAACTGAACTGACTTGATCTATTTTCTTTTTTATACCAATTACTGATTTAAATTAAACAGACAAACTTCTTCAGGATCATCATGAATACCATACGCATCAAAGACTGATCAAGTTGCATTTAGAATTAAATATGGAGCTGAGCTGAGCACTGAGCATAACGCTTCTTACGTTTCGCCGTAAAGAAAGAAATGACTTCCCAAATATGACATTAGTACAAAAGTTCAGTATTTATACTCTAATGATATAACTTCTGATGGAATGTAGTACAAGATGGATTTTGCATAGAATCAAAAGCCTTTCTTCCGACAAAGAATCGACGTGAGGACTCAAAATTCCTGTTTCTATTATGTCGATCCTTTGTAACGACCCTTTTCTTCTTACATTGTCGATCCTTTGCAAGTACTCTAAACTAATAATTTAATTGAATTCTTCGTTTCTAGATTGTGCACCATTCCTAATTATAAAGCAGGTTAGTACAGCAGTATCGGTTCAATCCAATGTCGTTTTAAGTCTGTGAAGGCTCCCAAATATGCACTAACCCTCTTGTTGTTGTTGCCTATGCTCACTTGTCTGATGTACAGTCAGCCCAAGCCCACGAAATTCCTGGTGACAAGGAGCGCAAGATTTCGCCTGTATTTGGCAACAGCCTTGAGCACCTAACATATTACAGTGTCATTTGTCTCAGTTCCGCCCGCGAATTTTATGGAGAGCACCCCGGGAAGGGAAAGAGTCGGAGGATCCCACACGAGAGGACTTTGGGCTCGCCGATTATATTTAAAGTGCCGCTACGCCGCACCGACACTATACATTTACAAACATCCATGCCTTCTCCGGGATTTGAACACAGGTCCTTCAGCACGGCAGTCAGCAAGAGCGGCAATCATCTTACTGATTGCATCATTTGTAGTTTTTGTAGTGTCCATAGTATGCTGATGTCGAGGTTGTCCAGTATCGATTCTACCCATGTCGATGCTAAGCAGTGTTCATCCTATGGAGTGTCAGCCTTGCATCGTACAGACTCCAAACAGCATTCGCCGATGCTGTGGAACCTCTGAGCTTTTCAACGGTATATCTGGGGTTTCAAATTTAATTCTCGGAAAAATAATTTTCATCTGTAAAATAAAAGAAAACAAAAATTATTTTCTTCATTAAATTTGCCTCATAATAGTTTTTCTAAAAACTGAGTTTTTCAATTATTTCAATAAAACCAAAATTTAACACTCTTTGTCACTAACTTTTACAGAAATCTAGACTTGATGTTTCCCCTTAAGCAATATTAGTGGCTAGCAAGGGCAACTGCGATGCTGATAAACTGGATTTGAATTGTAGATAAGACTTACATATTGTAAATTGTTATACTTACTTTAAGCGAAAATGTGTAAAATCTGTCACTTGAAGTTTAGCTTGGGTAGCTTGGGTAGGATCGCTAAAAGATTCTCATTCAAAACCGGGATAGAGTTGTCGCGACGAAATATAAGGTTTTTAAGAAACGGAAAATATGAAAAGTCAGTTGAACTGTCTGGTCTTCAAGTTATAGGTCTTTCACTGCTAGACGGTGTAACGTCTTTGCGTAGCTACTCTACTAACATAATACCCAGTAAGAAATGTAAAGAAACTTTGCGCATAATACTCGTATATCCTCACTTGAAGATGCATGTGCTTGAAATGTTTCAGTTTTTATGTAAGTTTGAATAATAAAATATTTGTTGTTCAATCAAATAGGTGAAATTAAATTTTAAAATTTCCTTTAAAAACTTCTTTACAATGGACGGGTTACCATTCACACCAAGAAAATATGCACGGGGACTAATCAAGTATTTAGATTTCTTACCTTCTCGCTCACCCAACAGCGACGGGGAAAAGTCCCACAAGACACTTCATCTAAGATAAAATACGTTATTTCGTGAAGCGGTTTTTTTTTTTTTTTTTTTTTTTTTTTTTTTTTCCATTATATATTTATCTAAAATCATAATTTGCTGTACTGAAAAAGTGACTTAGCTTCGTAAAATCTAGATGCGATTCTGATGTGAGTTTATTTTCTTATGTGGGTTCGTTTAATGAAACTGCAGTGCTTTGCTATTCATAAACAGTTTCAAGCATTACCGTGCCCAGAAAAATTGTTAAATTGTGAAATAGTAATTATTGAAGAGTTAGTAGTACACAAGTTTATGGGATTAAAATCCCCATCTAACAAGGGCATAGTACAAATTATTTTATCATACATATCGTTTAATAAAGGATATGCATTAGCTAAAACTTTCCTGCGAAGCTCTTTTGCTCGAAAAAAGCTACAAATAAGGCGGAAATGCATTAGTTTTAAATAATTTTATGCAATTAAAAATAAATAAATTTCATTAAAAATATGCTACTAACTGGCCACCGTGATTGGTATAGTCGCTAGCGATGCTGGCTGCCGTATCGATGGCCGTTCGAAACATGGATAAGATATAGACATTTGTAAGTGTAGACTGTCTGCGCGGTATGGTACTGTTAAGCCGAAAGTTCTGTCGACTGGATTGGTGAAAGGGGAAAATAGATGAGAGACACTCAGAATCAATACGCCGGTGTCTATTCAGCATACATTAACACCGGCAATTATTCAGCATACCTTAGCTTCATAATTTTTGTCACTGATCCAGAATTTTGTAAATAATCAAATGGAACAATAATTTGTAGTTCTATGGAGAATATGTGATAGTTAAGGGTTAACTATCTAATTACTGTGAAATTCCTTTAAAATAAGTTTAGATGTAACTAAAAACGAGCATTTCATTTTGAAACACTTAAGCGATTTTTTTTTTTTTTTTTTTTTTTTTTTTTTTTTTTTTTTTTTTTGGAAAATACCCAAATGTCAAAAGTACGTTTTTTCCCCCCCCCCACAGAATTTCATGCCGCAGAAACACTAAATCAAAGAAGAAACCGAGTTTGTAACAAAGATGCCTCAGTTTGTTATAATACTTACAAATAGGGGAAAAAATTAGAAGGAGAAATTTTATTGAAGCAAGATGCATGATTTGCATTAAAAATCTAAAACTCAAAATTCATACCAGCTAAATTTCTTCTTCCTCAAACGCAGGAAAATAAAAAAACTAGCTTCGGCTTAAAGCTCAGTCGTGTTAAGAAGTTAATTTGACACCTAACGGCAGCGCGGTCCGAGGGCGTGACCGAAAGAATAATCATCTTTCGGTTATTCATAGCCTTTGACCTTCTGGCCACGTATCCCCATAATTGCTTCTTGAGGTTCGTGACCTCTTAATAGGGTAGCAGAAGCGGGGGGTATGTCGGCAACTGCTTCTTGGGAGGTACAATCACAGAAGCAAATGGGACTGTTTTCCACTTCGTCGCTGTTCTTCTGATCCCCTTAGCCATTTCCGACTGAGATATAGACATCAATATGCGGCTAAAGAACTTAAAAGGATGATTTTTTAATACATTTTTAGTGGATACTAAGAAACAAATCGATCGTATAGCAATAACACTGAATTGGACTATTTTGGAAAGATGTGCTTAGCGCCTCTTCAAGAGGTATTTGTAACCCATATCAAGTGCTTGCACATTGTTTTCTGAGTTCTAATGCCTTGACCTATGTGATATTCTCGTATTGTGAGGCTTTTTACGGAGAGAAAGTCAATAGAGAATATCTAATCAAACATTCGTAATTATAGATAAGCCAGTACGTATCGTTTTTAGAAAGTAATAAACAAAGTATTTTTGCATGGGAAAATAATTTTATTTCTTTTCAAAATATTCACCTTTTAGCACAAATATTATGTTTCGAACAGATTTTCAAACCCGTTATGTCGTTCATATTTTGTATAGTTCATATTTTGTATGTGATTTTTCAAGCTTCAACTGTTCCTTTTTGGCTGTTGAATAACTAGAATTTCAGAATATGTTTCCTTACTGGAAATAAGAAAATTCATTCGACACTAATTAAATTAGGCGAATAAAGACAATGACTCGTCAAATCAAATTCTTCGTGCTTCATAAAACTGACAGTTCGAAATGCGAGTGTGAACTTGCATTGTCACGTAGGAAAATGATGCGACGTTTCGAATTCTTCCCCTTCCGTTTTAGTTCCTTAACTATTTCTCGTAAACTTCCTGTCAGCATTTACTGCTGAATAGACAGCAGTCGACTGTCATCAAACAACAGTGAGTATTTACTGTTTTCCAATCTTTCATAGCGACGATTTGATTCCAAGAGGATTTTTACCAAAATGTAGCAATCATTTTCTTTGAAGCATTTCGTACACGAATCATTTTTGTAAGATTCGGCTCATTTTGAAACACCTAAAACAGTAGACCTATTCTAAAGTAAAAAATAAAATTTCGAGGCAGTATAAATGAATTTTTTTTGAGATTTTCCTTGCACTACTTGAGACGAATATCTTTCTGAGTTAACTTACATTGAAGGGAAAGCGCAAACATTTTCATAGTTTTTAAACGATCCTGTAAACTTAAATGTATTCTGATCCTTCAACTGTTCAACGATGGCTCAATTTTACCATAACCAATGAATAACAAACTCTCACTCAGATAAAATGGCCGTTTATTGTACAGTATGTGTTTTCTTATATCAAAACAATGCTTAATCCATCTTCATTAAATTCATCTCTCCAACTTCTATGCCCAAGATGGATTTTTTGAAACCAACTGTAAAATGTTGCTGTAGATGGTGGTTCGTGAGATTTCTTTCATTAATTCGCTGCTATTGGGTCAAACCGAACTGAACGTTATAATAAATCGTAACTCAGAAATTTAATGTAGTACGTTATAATAAATCAACATAGGAAAATTAACTGATATTGTATTACTTATGGAGAAATGCTAACTTATTTGCCAAGAAACAATCTAGAGACGAAATAATTTTTTCAGTTATCTAACTCTTAAGAATATAAAGGTAATCGAGATTTTTTTTTTTGCATACAGAAATTTAATGTAGTACGTTATAATAAATCAACATAGGAAAATTAACTGATATTGGTATTACTTATGGAGAAATGCTAACTTATTTGCCAAGAAACAAATCTAGAACGAAATCCTATTTTTCAGTTATCTAGTCAAATGAGTTTCGTCTTATCAACTGGGTCGATATTACTAAGTCAGATTTTTTTTTTTTTTTTTTTTCATTAAGTAGTATTAAGGCATTTAAATTTTCCAAAAGTTATTGCATATTATAATTTTTTTCATTTTTTTTTGTACTTTTAAATGATGTCATAAAAATGTGCGTTGTATGAAAATTAAAGCAGCTAATATTAAAATGTTTAGAAACAAATGCATTGATTGGGCTTTCTTCGGCTAATCTTCTAATACTCGCTTACTTTAGTGAGAAAAATTACAAACACATTGTTGTTATCATAATACGCATTTGCTGAATTTTTGGCATATAATCTTCTTTTTCACATACGTGTCTATGTCAAAAAGAATAATTTTTTACAATAACTAGTTAATAATAATAACCACTCAATAGCTTAATAATACTTAATACTTTCTTAATAACTATTACTTCGACTATCTTTACACAAAACTTTAAAACTTGCCACATATTTTTTAAAGATGGAATAAATAAAGCAATTCATCATTTTAATTTCGATTTCCCAACTTAACAATAGTCTGTTTAAAATCAAGTTGAATTTTTTTTCACACGGATTATAAATAATGCACATGGATTCAATTAAAAACATCGTGAACTTGCTAGACAATTATTTCATTAACTTCCAACTATTTTACTATTTGCATGAATTAATTTTTATTCTCACACTTTTTGGGCTGCATCTACACAGCATTAAAATAATGCATACAAAATAATAAAAGAAAATCTTTAATGCAAAGGGCTTTTATTTCTCTTGCATTCATCTCAAGCATTCTCAACATTCATTCATAAAGCCGAACTTCAAATAACTAATAATTTTTTACTACGAACTTCAAATAAACTCATCATTACTACGGGAAGCCATTTCGACAAATCTCATTTTCGTGCGGCTTTAATCAACGTGACATTAATTAAAAACTGAAAAAGTTAATTTTCATCTTCATTTTTCGGAGTGTCAATAGTCTCGTGCACCGGAGATGGAAATTTGCTCAATTTCGAAAAGTGTTGCCACTGCTCG